CGATATGTTGGGGTGAGGTTGGATAGAGTGTCATGGGGAGTACCGAAGTGGTACTCAAGACTATAGAAAGGATCTAGCAGGTTCGGAGCAGGCTTCACACTGCGCAGAATCGACAGAAAAGTTATGACGACAAGCGTATTTCGGACCTGGAATTCCAGGTCAGGGATATTGTGCTCTTAAAGGTATCGCCTTGGAAAGTTGTCATTCGATTCAGGAAGCGGGGCAAGTTAGGCCCCAGGTACATTGGACCTTTCAGGGTTGTCGCCCGGGTGGGCAAAGTGGCGTATAGGTCGGACATGTCAGTCGAACTCAGTCAAATTCAGAGTACTTTTCACGTCTCCCAGTTACGGAAGTGTCCGGTGGACGATTCGGAAGTGACGCCTTTGGAGGATATTTAGGTAGATGATAGCGTGAACTACATTGAGTAGCCTGTGGCAATCCTCAATAGAAAGTCGAAGGATCTAAGGAACAAAAGAGTGGAGCTGGTGAAGGCGCAATGGCAGCACCACAATGGCTCGGAATGGACTTGGGAGTCAGAGGACGAGATGAGGGAGCACTACCCCGAGATTTTTCACGATTCAGCAGCAGAATTTGAGGACGAAGTCTAAAATATGTAGGGAAGATTTGTAACACCCGGTTCGTGGTACGTATCTAAATTCAAGTAACTTCATGTTTTGCTCTGGGACTTGGCAAGTTGGAGGCGCAACTCGTCGAGTAGACTTGACTTTTGATCGGGGGGTTAAGTGACTTACTCGATGAGTTGGAAGACCGAGTTGGCGAGTAAGACTGTCTGGATGAAACCCTAATATTTGGGTTTGCACCCTATTTAAACAACTTATAACGCCCCAACCAAGCCTCCATTGTCCCTCTCAACCCAGAGAAAACCCTAACTCGAACCCTAATCATCTGTTGTGTGTTCTTGATCTTGTTGGTGCCTTTTTGTGTGTTTTTGAAGTTGGAATGGAGGAAGGAAGCTTGGAAGTTCAAGTAGAAGCAAGAAGATCCAGAGGTTTTGCTCCATTCTCAGTTCATTCCATTGGCGGATCTACATTGGATCCCGGTGTATCCCAGGATGCCCCTCAAAAAACTTTTAGTAGTATAAATTTTTCCGAAATTTTTTGTTTATTTTGCATTCCTTAATATAAATGTGTTTTGCGAAAAAAATAACAAAAGCTCTAGTTGGTTTAGTTGGCTATGACGACATGGTGTTTTTCCGGAGGTTAGAAGTTCGAATCTTGGGCTTGATATATATGTTAATTTTTTGTTTATCAGTTTCTATCTTATATCCCTTCAAATTCTTTCTTATTTCTTATAATCCTAAAATTGTCCCACATCGGCCGTAAACTATACATATGTTATATAAGCAACACAAGATTTTCAATTCTCAACAAGTTAAACCTTTGAATGGGTTTGGGTTTAAACCCGAAACTGAGTTTGTAAAACTGAAAAACCGAGAAACTGAACCCATTGGTTCGGGATACCCATTTACATTGACCCTGGCTCCGCTACTGGTTCATTCAAGGTAAAAAGTTGGAACCTTGACCATCTATCTCTTAGATCTTCATTTGCGGCTATTTTCCACCCATCTTATGGGTTTAGTGAAGCTATAATCGGATTTTGTGTGTGTGCTTGTAGTTGCACTTCAGATCTGGAACCATTGGGGGTCCTTGTGGCGTAAAGGTGCCAACTTTATTGCCATAAGCACCCCATGCATCTTATATATTTCATTTTATGGTCTTTTGAGTCAAAAACCCCATGTATGGACGTCAAGATTAGAACTTTACGTATAAAAGGGACCCTAGGAGGTCAGATCTGTAGTTGGATGCTTTGAGACTCATTGAAATCGACTGTATAGTTATGGATAAGGACGGACTTGGAGAGTCACTCATGAGACTCGACAAGTCGGGCTGTATTTCCCATCAAACCCTTTATGTTAAGGGAGCAGGAGTTAAGATAGAAGGGCACCCAGTCGTCGGGGCTCATTAAGGACCTGCATATCATAGGACTCGGCGAGTAGATGAACAAACTCGGCGAGCACAAGGCAATGTCCCAACCATATGATGATGGACTCGATGAGTTCAAGGAGAAATCGGCGAGTCATAGATAGACATATTCATAAAGATGTAGATGAACTCAACGAGTTCAAGGATGAACTCGGCGAGTCGGTTGAAGAAGGTCGCGATGTTTTGGTTAAAGAGGAACTCGTCGAGCTCTTGCTAGACTTGGCGAGTAGAGTTGGGGTTTAGCTTGTGGTGGGAGTGGGGACTCGACGAGTTGGTGGACCAACTCGGCGAGTCGAGTCAACTGGATGTTGACTTTGACTAGGGTTTTGGCTTTGACTTTGACTTGGACTTGAGTTGACCCTTATAAGGGTTACAAGTATGAATTGCTAAGTTTGAAAAGTTGTGGTGTAGGGATTGTGGATTCGAAGATAGTTGGTTTTCATACCGAGGACAGTGCAGACACTACATGACTTTGAGATGAGTTTCCTCCTAGTAGGAGTGGGTCTATGGCCACAATGTCGGCCCACAAGTAAGAGTGTCGGATAGATGATTGTCTTTGTGATAATTATCTAGTGTTGATATGTGATATGATTATTGTGCTTGATATGTGTTAGTAGTAGCATGAGAAATAGTACCCGATTACCGGTTGAAAGATACCGAATGGGAGGGTAGCTCCCAGTTACCGGTTGGAGGATACCAAAGGGGAGGTTAGTTCCCGGTTACCGGTTGAAAGATACCGAAGGGGAGCCCAGCTCCCGGCTATGCCCGACAGTTACCGGTTGAAAGATAATGAGGATTATGCATTATTTGGTATGAGTAAGTTAGGGTAACTCACTAAGCTTTGTGCTTACAGTTTTTAGTTTTGGTTTCAGGTACCTCTTCATCTAAGGGGAACGAGCCGTCGGGGTAGCAGCGCATCACACATATACACATGACCTTCCGCATTTGAGAAACTTGGGATTGTACTCTGACATTTTACCATTTGATGTTATGGTTTTCAAGACTTGTGATTGTTACTTTGATGCTTTGAAATAATAACAATGATGTTTTCAGTGAACTATTTTATTAAGTAATATGATTAAACAAAAAATTTCGGGTCTCGATTTTGGGATGTTACACACTCATTTCCAACCCATGATGACAACATTCCAATAGGATCTTCGACTCTATGTTTGAACTTGAGAAGAGCAAGTCGCTCTTGTAGTCTTGCTCAAATAAAATGACATTAATATTTCCAGCCCCAAACAAGTATAGGTGGTTGCAAACAAAAAAGGAGATATGTTCATGAGAGCCCTAACTCTAGTTTAGTTTAGAAGAAAGATGAAGTAGAAACATGGGTTATGATGATCAAGTGATGGTTATACATATTTTTTCACATACAAACACCTACATTTTTACATAAAAATCCCTACATTTAATATATATATATATATATATATATATATATATATATATATATATATATTCACATACATTTTTTCATATATTCACATATACATATATTTCACATGGAAATACACCTATACACACATTTTCACATACACTTTTTCATACATATACATTTTTTCATACATATTCACACATACACATTTGCATATACATTTTACATACATTTCATATAGATTTCACATACCAAAATATACACATTTCACATACCAAAATATATACATTTCATATAAATTAAGAACCAAAAAAAAAAAAAAAAACTTCTGTTGCCGGAGAATTATAGTTGCCGCTGGAAAATGGTGACAACGGTGGTGCTGGTGCTGTGGTGGTGGTCACCACCGGAGATTACTTAAAAACCCAAAAAAATGAAATTAGGGTTAAATATCTATAAGAAAACAAGAGAAAGAGAAAAATGGAAGAGAAAACGCATGTTATCGGAGGTTTATTGTCGCCAGAGAAACTTGGAATTCGCCGGAAAACGCAAATTGGCGGAAATCACTCGAAAATGAACGCCTAGAAGCAATCTATGGTTAGTGGTGGTTTGTGTTGGTGTACTACGCCGGAAAAACGCACCAGAGAATGTTGGTCGCCGGAGTTTTGCAAGAGGGGGGATAATACGTAGAAACTAAGTCATCTGGGGCGAAGGGGTGGTCAAAAGGGCGTTACCTTTAGCGGTGACACCAGGGCAATATCGGCAATATCGGCGACCAGTTAGAGGGAAAAACACGCGCCATTCTTTGGTGCTTATTAGCCGTCCGATCCAAAAATAATCGAACGGTGACGATGACATTCATGTGGATCGCTATCAATAGTGGTGACCCTTCGTAGCAATTGGTGTTGCCGCTATTACTTCCCAAGAGATAAAACCCTAAATGATGGATCGGTATAGCAGTGTACGGTCACGATCAAATGGCGTGTGGCACAAGAGGATCGCCGGTGAAGCCCTTTAGCGACAACATCTATATCGACAACAATAACCTTTAGCAACGAAATTATCTAATGTCGCCGCTAAAGGTCAACGTCGTCGCTATAGATGCCGTCGCTAAAAGGCTTATTTCTTGTTATTTTGAGGACTTTTTTTATTTTAATATTTATATACCAACCAACCCATTCATTTATTCATGAATGGGGATGGTCTAAAGATCATAGTAATTATAATATCTTGTGTCCTATTTGTCTAAGCCATCAAGGGTTACCTGTTGAGACCAAGAAACTAGCAAATTGAATTAATTCAGAAGGTAAAAAAAAATCTGGTTATTTATGAAATTAACCTTTTTTTTAATTATAATTGTTTCTTTAAAAACATGACAAATATATAGTTCTCTTCTTCATATCATGAAAATAACATTCTACTACATGCATCACAATAAAAAGTAATAAAAGCCATCCCATGAAAAAGGAATAACTAAGAAAACACACACCTAGATAAGCTTCAAATACAACATTAAAAAGCTTAAAACATAGGTAGCGAGTCACTAACGACTTCGTACTAAAAGTCTGAGAACACCCTTTGTCGAGCTAATTAATTATGGTTGATGGACATCGCGACTATCAATAATACTTCCTATACACGTCGCTAGTTTTAGCAACAAATGCAGGTCGTGCATAGCGCTTCTGTGGTTCTGTTGGTTGTGCACGTGTGGAAAGTTCATCAAGTACTCCTTTTTGCCTTGGATCTGAACGTGGAGAATGCTTCATGGATTCCAATAAGCCCAAAGCCTCGTTTATATTATCAATCTTAGTTGAAAGAGAATGATGCGTCGTAGGTGGACTCTGTACAGATTTGTTAGTACCAGAAATATTTCCACTCCTAATCTGTCTGGCTGCAAAGCCGAGTCCAGAACGAACCAAATCGGTTTCTTCTGAATGATACTTATTTGGACTTGAAGGAAGATGTTTATTTGGGCTCGAAGTGTCTCTATTTTTCATGGGCCAATTTCCTTCATTGTGGAATTTGGGTGGGCTTGAGTTCTCATAGTTGAACCCAGTGTTCGGGTTGAAACCTACATTTGGAGATTTTGGACTACTAGACATGGTTGGGGAATGAACGTATTCATTTAGGAGCTCCATTTTTGAAGGCGAACCAACAAAATCGGTGAACCCAGCACCAGGTGCATACTGGTTGACTGGGTTTCTCGGCCCGTGGTCATAACGACCTCGGGCCGGAATGGCAGTGTAGGTTGAGTAGCCTTTGGTCACATAGGATTTACCTGCCATTCTTGGTTGGATGATAAGATCGTGTGTTTGTTTTGTTTGATTTTGCTATGTTTGAGGATGGATGAATGGTGTTAAGATGTGTCTTATATAGTACAACTACTCAAGAGAAAGATATTTACAAAGTGTTGCGCTGTTTCAAGATTAGGATTCTTTTGGATGGTTTGAAGATCGGATTCTAGTCCAAGATATTTTGTTACAAGTCGAACATATTCCTACTTATTGGGTTTATGGGGAATTCGAATTTTACAGAAATCATTGAAAACAAATATAGCACGTTTGGATGGAATGTTTTAGTTACATATTCTCTTGCACTGTTTGAGATATTTTTGTATACGTTAAGTAAGTTCTTTGATCAGATAGGTCGGGATGGAATGTTTATCTATATATCATGTAAAGAATATTACATAATATAATATAATATAATATATACATTTTTCTGAGATATATTGGAATGTTTATCTATTTTTTAAAGTTGTTTATTCTTTTGAACGTAATGTATCTTTTTACACTTATAAACAAATAAATTAATAATACTTTGTAACAAAAACTCAAATATGATAGTTAGAAATAATTAATAATATTTTTTTATATATAAAGTTTAGCTATTATTTCACATAATTTACTTTAAACGTTTATTTTCTTTTTAAGAAATACTATTTTAATTGTGGTTTAGCCTTACCTGTTCAACAAAGGATTACAAACAATTTTGTAGTTGTATGTAGGGCTGTAAACGAACTGAACGTTCGGCGAACCGTTCGTGAACTGTTCGGCGGGAAGTTCGTTTATGTTCGTTTATTTAATAAATGAACGAACATGAACAAAAATTATCGTTCGTTTAGTTAAACAAACGAACATGAACAATGGTCTTGTTCATTCATTTATGTTCGTCAACGTTCGTTTATGATGTTTGTTTACGTTCGTTCGTTTAAGTTTATTTATATTCATCTATATTCAATTAATTTTCATTATATTGCTATATTATGTGTTCGTTTATGTTCATATATGTTCAATTGTGTTTTTTTTTTATCTTTGTTCGTTTATGTTTGTTTGTTTATGTTCGTTTAGCATGTTCACGAACATAAATGAACGAACATGAACAAAGTAATTTGTTAAACGAACGAACATGAACAAGAAAATCTCGTTCCTTTATCTGTTCGTGTTCGTTTGTTGTTCGGCTAACTTAAACGAGCGAACATGAACAAGACCTTGTTCGTGTTCGTTTGGTTCGTTTACAACCCTAGTTGTATCTTATTAAAGCTACATATGGAGATAATGGCCCTTTTGGGAGGTCTAATTTCGTGTGTTTTCAATGGGCCATGGAGCAATAGTGTTTCGTGTGTTTTCAGACATAAAAGTAGAGGTTACGATGTACAATTTTTTAGTTATTTAAAGGCAGGTAATGGTGAACAAACGAGATTTTGAAAAACTATTGGTTGGAACATGCATTTTTTTTTGAACAGCTGAATTTTATAAAACTTAAAAAAACGAAATTAACAAGAAGCTAAATTTACAAGCAAATAGTTAGAATTGGGTTTTTAAACCAATCTACCCAATTAGCTTTATTTTTTATATTTTTAAAACTAAACCAATTATAAATAAATAAATAAATAAAAATTCAACTATATCTTCAAAAATTCAATTGTTAATCAGATTAGACTCTCCAAAAATGATATCATCTCAATATCACCAAATCGCCCACGAAGTCATCTGAATAATAGACTCCAATGCTGCCTTTTAGTACCCAGGAAATAACTCACAAAGTATCCTCACCCAAAAACACCAAATCCACCATCTAAACACCTTTTGCCATATAATAGAAACTTCTTCAAACTATAAGAAAACATGATCCGACTTTTCCATCTATGTATCACATACATAAAGGGCAAAGCAACGAAGGAATATCCAAGCCTTTGATGCAAAAATTCCACCTAGTAGGTAACGATATAGCAACAATCTCCAAATAAAAATGTTTACCTTTCTCAAAACAAAACGATTTCATCTAGTTGCATTATTTCCATCCGGTCAATATCAATATGCTTTCTCGCCGTTCCAAAAAAAATGCTTTGTAACTTCATTCACCGTAAACCCGAGAACACCATTCTAAATCTACCACGAGTCATCTTTCTCTTGGTTCGGTTGAAAAGACTGAATTAGCATCAATAATTCTTCAAATTGTCTTTGCAAAACTCCACCTTCAAAAGTACGATCCCAAAGCCAATACCACCCATCTATCTACAACAAATGAGTAAAACGATCATTTAAAAGAACATCCACTGTCCAAATATCCAACCAAAACCAAGTGGTTCTCCCATTTCCTACCACCTTCTTGAGGCACGAAAAAGAAATTATACCCCTCTCATGCATGTTATTTATGGAACCAACAATGTGAGCTCAACCCCCGAAGTACAAAGCCAAGATCACCTTAACCCATAAAGACTTTTTTTTTTCTTTTACTTATCTTCCCCGCCATTTTTTAATCAAAGCATGATTAATAGCCTCAAGACTCCCAAACTGAGGCCTCCTTTCTCCTTGGTCGCCATCAGCATATTCCAATTAACCCAAGAGAGTTATTTTAGAATTACCATCAAAACCCCCAAAAAATTAGGTTGAAGGGATTCTAAAAATTTTCTTAACGTGTATCGACATCACAAAAATAGACATATAGTAATTACCTAGCGATCCCAACACTAAAGTAATCAAAACAGATCTGCCACTAATAGAAAACATATTTGCATTCCAAGTAGATATTTTTTTCTCAAACGTATCGATCAATGTCTTTTAACCTTTAACTATCGACATACTAACACCTACTAGTAAACCCTAGTAAGAAAAAAAGAAGCTTAGCACGTCTACAACCAGTCAAACTAGCAACTGTCATAACATCAACAAAATCGACCCATATACCAAAATGAGTGGATTTATGCAAATTTATTCGAAGACCTGAAACATAGAAAAAACAATAAATTAAACGGACCAAAAAAATAACATTCTCTTTTGATCACTCTCACATAACGCACAATACGCCCAGAGAATGAGAAAGACTAAAAGAAACAATTTTTACACCTCGAAAAGACTAGCCTCCATAGCATTTGCAATAGCAACATGAAGACCCTCCATTATTAAAATGAACAAACACGGGGATAAATGATCACCTTGATTAAGACCTCTTTGAATAACGAATTCTTCTGACGGGCTTCTATTGACAAGGACTGACGCCTTATGTGAGAGAAGGCAACAACGAACCCATGACATCCATTTGGAACCAAAACCCTGGAAGACCATAATCTGAAACAAATACTCTAAATGACTGAGTCATATGCTTTCTCAAAGTCAATTTTAAAGAACATAGTTTTTTTTTCTTCAATCTCTTATACCAACCTATAATCTCGTTAGCCATGAGAGGATCATCAATTATCTTATGAACCTTGACAAACGTTGATTATTGCATCCAAAAGGTATTTTTCCTGTATCAAAGAATTCGACTACAAACACCAAGATATATGTTTTTAACAACTCTCAATATATATATATATATATATATATATATATATATATATATATATATATATAGTCAAGATCAAATAAGAAGGAAAATATTGATAGGAAGGTAAGAAATTTTTTATATGCTTATTTTCGTAGCAAAAACTAAAATAAATCATTAGATGATTCAAAATAAGATGATTCACAAGAAAAAATTTCGAAAAAAATACCTTCATGATTCATTTTTAGGTAAATCAAGAAAAAAAAAATTCACTTTTATAACAATTTTAGTGAATATCAACAAAATCATCATAAAAATGAATCATCAAAATGTTTTTCGGGATTTTCTTTTTGGTGAATCATGTTATTATTGATGCATTTAGTGATTCATTTGTTTTGTTCGCTAAAAAAATAAGTCGAAAAAAATTTTCTTACCCTCTTATAAAAAAAAAATTCTTACCAGATTTATATATATATATATATATATATATATATATATATATATATATATATATATATATATATATATATATATATATATATATATATAGGTGGGTTCAATTGAGAAAATAAAAAAGGTTGAGAATGGGGGAATCATTCTCCGACACTCATTTAATCTAAGCATAAAAGACACGGTGGCAAACTTGTAAATATCGTAATAACTTTCAATCTCAAATACATAACTATAGAGATTTCGATAACTGTTCATTCATCATCAAAAATTTTCCTCCAACCTTCAATAATCATCCAGATTTCTTCAACTAAATCGGAATTTCTTCGTTGTTCATGAAATTGGAATCGGAGTTCTGGACTCGCCATCACAGTCGATATTGAGGGACTTAGAATCGATACTCACGGGTTACCAATCGGATTTTCGGAAATTAAAATCAAATTGAGAAATCGATCAAAGATAGGATGTCGCATCTGAAGTCGAAATCGGAAGTATATGATAATTTGGAATTGATAACTTGATGTTTTTAACATTTTTAAAATAGTTAACTTGTTTGCACTCCAACTGTTTGATGAAATGCATAAACTAAATTACCACGTTATATTCACATATGAATATGTTTTCTCACATGAATCAGTATATGATTATTAAAAACACAAAACAAATATGCAAGTCTGTATGTTATTTATATGTGAATAACATATAAAAATTATATATATTTGTCAAAATACCTTCAATATTCATAAGTGAATATACCTTGTAATATTCATATGTGAATATCCTATCTAATATTCATAAGTGAATATATCATCTAATATTCACAAGTGAATATACTCTGTAATATTCACATGTGATATACCATGTAATACTATGTAATATTCACATATGAAATATCATTTAATACTCATAAGTGAATATATATCATCTAATATTCACAAGTGAATATACTATTCACAAGTGAATTCATCGTCCAATATTAAAATATGAATATACTATGTTTATTATATGATATATTCATATATGAATGATACTTAAATTGTAAAAAAATAAAAAATAATAATAAAAAAAA